TATAGGTACCTAATGGTTACATTAAATATTGATAATTTTATTATTCTTCATCTATATACCTATATTTTAAAAGTTACTGCACAATATATACAATATGTTTAATGTTTACTCTTGAACACTTTCCAAAAGTATAAAACACCTCAGGGCCTGTTAGCCAGCTCTGTTCTTTGCATTTCGCGTAAGTAATATTTTATATACCAATAATATAGCATATAAAGTGTATATTATTATACGTAGTACSTATGTAGATACAAATGCGTAGTGTAAAACGAAAATTTACATAATATTTTTCCTGTGTCTTCGTTTTATTTTATAGTGTATGGCATGTGTAATAAAATAGCGGAATAATAATATTATTATCATGGGTAAACAACATTGTCGTACGAGTCGGCACTTCGGCAGACGTAAAATGTGTTTGACCAGTACAGCTAGTATCAATCTTATAAATTGCTTTTGGTATCCCTAATATCATAGAGGTTGTTGTTGTTTACAGGATTTTTAAACCGTTAACYAACGAGTATAAAAAATATTATACCTACCTACCTACCTACGTAGGTAAAATATAATCTACCTAAAACAATATATTTATTAGTTMGTTGTACATACGTAATTGTCTACTCACGTAGTAACCTAAAACCAACGTATGCCCTACACACTATCGCTATCCATCTATAATATTATTATGTGGAATAATAATATAATAATATAACCTCGTGCCTCCGGTCGTCTAATATCTCTCGTACACCTGCAGATACACAGTCATATATCTCACGTATTAAACATTTATTCTTGTCTCTTGTACAAGAGTCTATCGTACCGGAAACGCACGTATAATCATTTTACTGCTGTTCGTTCGCTGTCGACAGCCGCGGCGGCAACAGTGGTGTTAAAGGTGTTAAGGTGTATAATGTATATTATACGTGTTTATAAGCATATATATATATATCCCACTACTTACACTCTATATCACCGTCACCACCCATAACAGATTACTATCTCCAGTTGTCGTCGACTGTATACGAAAATGATGCTCTTTTATTTTGAACCAACGTGTACACACATATTTTGTATAATACACACACTTGTTGTTATAATCAAAAATCACACATCGATAAACACAGCTTCCGATTGCACATAGTAGCTACTATTATCATTGGGTGTGTGTGTGCGTGTGCGGGTACAAACGCTACACTATAATAATATATAGAATATTGTTATGCCAACAACGCCTTCGCGGCGTTTTATACAAAGATTCGTACAGTCACAAAGACTGCGAAAACGAAGGAAGCGATACACGTGGTGCCGGAAGTTAGGAGAGAGGAACAAGGATTATCTCGGCTGTTTCCGGTCCGTCGGGCGTGCACGCCATTACACCAAAGCTCCTCATATTTCCCCTTTCAACCTGCGAGAGCTGACAAAAGTTATAATTCTTATAAATATATTTTATTTATTTTTCATTCACACTGCATTTATATTAAGACACATATATTATTATTATTATATGATTGTTGTTGTGCGCCTATAGTATGCGAGCACGCGTTCATAATATATTAGCGTTAACAACAGATAGTATAGCTGTTATCTATACAATCGTTTAATTTGGGTTGCTCGATTTTCCAGCAACTGATTTTTGCATCACTATTTCATTTAAATATTCAACGCATATATTATAACACACTTTAAACTCACTGGCGGAATTTTTGAGAACGCAAAAACTATTTGATCGTAGAGCGTGTACCATACACGCTGTAAATTTATGACGGTAATTTTTTTTAGTACGTACCGTAGTAGAAGACCAAGTAAAAAATATGTTTACCTACGTTTAATTTTACAYATTGTTAAAATATTTTACCTTCTACACATCGTAAGTTTTTTAATTATTTTAGCCGTCAACATTTATAGTCCATGATTTTGTATATTCTATGAATAATAATACTTAACAAGTATTACCCAGRTAAGATAAACATGATAGTAAATATTAATTATAAATAAAACTTAATTAATTAATTA